GGGGGTTTTCAACTAAAAAAAGCAACATTAATTTCTTGACGACCTAATATAAGTATTGTAGTTTCACAAACAACAAATATAAAGAATAACTTATCTTAATTTTCAGAGAAATGATGATTGAATAATTTTGATGCTTTTAAATGAGGGAATTTTTGATATTTAAAAGGTAAAATAGAAACAAGTAAACTGTATTATTTTTTGTCCAGGAAAAGACAAAGTGATATTTGTGTCCAAAGAAGATCATGAGACACCAATTAAAGTTTCTTTACCAGAAAATTCTGATGACGACTCACCAGGCAAGTGAACAAATAATTGGTAGAAGAGTATCATATATTGGAGGAAGTGACATTCACAGCAGAACTAGCTTGTGGGAAGTGAAATTGTCATACCTACTTTTGGTGACAGACTGACAAATCAGTTCCTTTTTATTGTAACATTAATTTGACATGTCTGCTTTAGTGTTATTGAGACATCTGTTGGTGTCATCTGCTTTAGTGTTATTGATACATCTTTTGGTGACATCTGTTTGACACATCTGGTTTAGTGTTACTGATACATCTTTTGGTGACATCTGTTTGACATGTCTGCTTTAGTGTTACTGATACATCTTTTGGTGACATCTGTTTGACATGTCTGCTTTAGTGTTATTGAGACATCTTTTGGTGACATCTGTTTGACACATCCGGTTTAGTGTTATTGATACATCTTTTGGTGACATCTGTTTGACATGTCTGCTTTAGTGTTATTGAGACATCTTTTGGTGACATCTGTTTGACACATCTGGTTTAGTGTTACTGATACATCTTTTGATGACATTTGTTTGACATGTCTACTTTAGTGTTATTGATACATCTTTTGGTGACATCTGTTTGACACATCTGGTTTAGTGTTACTGATACATCTTTTGGTGACATCTGTTTGACACATCTGGTTTAGTGGTACTGATACATCTTTTGGTGACATCTGTTTGATAAATGCTTTAGTGTTATTGATACATCTTTTGGTGACATCTGTTTGACACATCTGGTTTAGTGTTACTGATACATCTTTTGGTGACATCTGTTTGACATGTCTACTTTAGTGTTATTGATACATCTTTTGGTGCCATCTGTTTGACATTTCTGCTTTAGTGTTATTGATACATCTTTTTTTCATGTTAAAATTGACAAGTAGATCAGTCATTATTAAAACTAAGTTGGAGTTAGTTTTGAGCAATTTAGCTGGTAGCAATCTTTGTTCAGTGTTGTTTTTCAGAATTAGAGTTACTTAATTACAGTAGAACCTCGATTAATGGGCATCTCAAAACAATGGGAACTGTGCCATTATGGGCAGACCTCTTTCTTTTTTCTACTATTTGTAACAAAAATAAATCTTAAAATAATGGGCACCTCTATATTCTTAATTAAGGGCAGTCTTTAGTCTCATTCTCTATATAAATTAGGCAGTTAACCCTTTCACTGTAGGCAGGTTAAATTGCACATGTCATGACCTTTTAGTTATTTTCAAAATTTTATTAAATGACTCTACTATTACTCATAACACTGTAAGTACTCAATCTTTGTTTTTTGAAGTATTTTTTTATTTATTCTATGTTTTAGACAGTCATTACTCTCAAGACCACTAGTGTAAATGTGACAAACAATCATCTATTAAAGACATTTTTATGAAGTAAACAAATAACCAATGACTTAAAGAATAAGAGTATATGTTTGTTATACATGTATTTGTGCTAATGACCTAATGTGTGTGATGTACAAATGTATAATAACCTTTTACATGTATTTGTATTTTCATACCTATGGAATAGAAATATATTTAAAAAACATATTTCTTTGTTCCATTTATTTAATGTTTTTACAGTATACACAAAAAACACTTCCTACATACATGTAACAAAAATGCATACAACAAACAAAATGGGGGACCTTAAAGTTCAGAAACTTGATGTGTTAAATACTGAATCTAGCTTTATATTAAGGGCACTTTGCTATAGAGGCCATTTGGATGCAGTCGGAAGAGTGCCCTTGATGTCGAGGTTCTACTGTACCACTAATGCAAAATTAAGCAGGTGTTGAGTAAGGTAGCGGACAGCAAGTATTTAAACTAATATAGAATGATGGAGCATTGAGTAAACTAGCCAACAACAAGTATTTAAACTAATATAGAATGATGGAGCATTGAGTAAACTAGCCAACAGCAAGTATTTAAACTAATACAGAATGATGGAGCATTGAGTAAACTAGCCAACAGTAAGTATTTAAACTAATGTAGAATGATGGGGAATTGAGTAAACTAGCCGACAGCAAGTATTTAAACTAATACAGAATGATGGAGCATTGAGTAAACTAACCAACAACAAGTATTTAAACTAATACAGAATGATGGAGCATTGAGTAAACTAGCCAACAGTAAATATTTAAACTAATGTAGAATGATGGAGCATTGAGTAAACTAGTCAACAACAAGTATTTAAACTAATGTAGAATGATGGAGCATTGAGTAAACTAGCCGAAAGTAAGTATTTAAACTAATATAGAATGATGGAGCATTGAGTAAACTAGCCAACAACAAGTATTTAAACTAATGTAGAATGATGGAGCATTGAGTAAACTAGCCAACAATAAGTATTTAAACTAATATAGAATGATGGAGCATTGAGTAAACTAGCCAACAACAAGTATTTAAACGAATACAATATGATGGATTGTTGACTAACTTAGCCAATAGCAAGTATTTAAACTAATACAAAATGATGGATTGTTGACTAACTTAGCCAACAACGAGTATTTAAACTAATACAAAATGATAGATTGTTGACTAACTTAGCCAATAGCAACCATCATTTTGTATTAGTTTAAATACATTGTTGACTAACTTAGGCCAACAACGA